ACTGTCTCTTTCTCTCTCTGGCAAGCACATGTGCCCTATGGCAAAAAACTCTTCAAAAAAATAAAAAAAGAAAGAAAGAAAAGAATGGTTTATCAGTGTGTCTCAAGAAACCTTTTAGTCCAGTTCCTTTACCTCTGATTCTAGCTCTCATTCTCATTCCTACATTTAGTTAACCAACCAATGAACCAACCAATCAACCAATCAACTGACATGTCACTAGGTACAGGAGACAGACCTAGCACATGAGGTACTCTCAGTACAGAAGGGGCCATTTCAGTGCTACCTACGGACCAAGAGATGAGGAGGTGGAGGTCTATGTGGTTAGAATATGCTTCTAAGTCAGGAGAAATTTTTATCAAGCTGTCACTAGCTTGTACAGACACTTTAGACTTAAGAAGGAAAGTTGCTGCCTGTGGGTTGATCATGCATGCCTCCAGTTCATAGAGATACATGGCACATTTCTGCAAGGAGGCTAATAATGCTACTAATGCTGCCTCCTTCCTGAAAATGAGTGCTTAAAATTGAACTTTCCTGGGCACAGCAGATGGTGTAGAGATTACGTCACTGGACTCCCACATGGCCAACAGCAGTTCAAGTCCCTGACCTAGTGGCTTGAAACTCACACTGTGTACATGTGTGTGCATGCCCAAGATCCTGAAAGGATAATGAAGAAGAAGGGATTGCAGCATGGCCATCCCCCTGGGGCGGTGATTTCTCACTTTCCCTCTCACTGTGTGTGTGTCTCTCTCTTGCATATGCTCTTTCACTACAGAGAGAGAGAGAAAGTGAGAGAGTCGATAAGTCTAGGACTCGAACTGCAGTTAGCCATGTGGGAGTCCAGCACCTTAACCACCAAGCCACTTGCTGGCCCCAGTTACTTACCACTTTTGTTCTCTGAGCCAATGCTAAACAAAGTTTTGAGATATCTAGAGGTTCTCTTTGGTGTACTCCTTATTTCCCCAATTCCTGGAGAGCATTTTGTATCTGTCCTACTCAAGGCTTCTCCAGGTCACTACACCTGATAATATATCATCTCTGACTCATCTTCAAACTATTGCCATCCTGGGACCAGCAGTTGGCATAATGGCTAGGTCGCTGGACTTCCATGTAGTTGACCACAGCTCAAGTCCTGGACCCGGTGGCTTAAACTCATGCCAGGTGCATGTGTGTGTGTGCATGCCCAAGATCCCAAGAAGAGAATGGAGGAAAAGAGATTGCGGCATGGTCATCCCCCCTGGGGGGGGTAGTTTCTTACTTGCTGTCTCTCTGTCTCTCTCTGTCTTTCTGGTGAGCACACGCACCATATAGCAAAATCCTCTGGGGAAAAAAGAATGCCATCCAGGGGCCAGCGGATGGTGTAGCAGTTATGTTGTTGGACTCCCACATGGCCGATTACGGTTTGAGTCTCAAACCCAGTGGCTTGAAAATTATGTCAGTCTCATGTGTGTGCGTGCCCAAGATTACAGGAGAAGAATGGAGGAGAAGAGATTGTGGCCTGTCCATTCCACCCGGGGGCCGGGGGGTGATTTCTCACTTTCCCTCTGATGGTCTCTGTCTCTTTCTCTCTCTGGAAGGCCTAAAGACAAAAAACTCTTAAAAATATAGCCATCCTTAGTCATAGTCCTGCAAGCACTTGACTGCAAATGGACTGGTCTCATAAATGAACTCAAGTGAACATAATAACTAATGATGACTATAGCTTGATATTTGCTGCTCTTTGGGAAATGAGCAAAACAATAGAAAATTTATAGAGCTATAGTACTGCAAGCCAAGAGTAGGAATCATTTTCCTATTTATGGTCACTGAACAACTAAACTTAAACAAACAAACAAAAAATGAACTAAAATAAACCAAAAACCAAGAGTTACAATACAAACCAACCAGTTTACATTTAACCTGAGCTTTTAAGTTTGAGAAAGAAAGGAATAAAAACACTATTACCTGACCTTGGAATATAGTTTTCTCTCATATTTAATATTCTTTTATAAAATAATATGTGTGCTATTTAGTTAAATATATATATATATATATATATATATATATATATACACACACACACACACACACACACACACACATATTTTAATTTTGGAGAGGTTTTTGCTATAGGGTGCGTGCGCTCGCCAAAAATAGAGAGAGAGACAGAGAGACAGAAAGTGAGAAATCACTCCCCAGGGGGGATGACCACGCCGCAATCCCTTCTCCTCCATTCTCCTCTCAGGATCTTGGGCACACACACACGCGCCCAGCATGAGTTTAAGCCACTGGGTCCGGGACTTGAACAGCAGTCGACTACGTGGGAGTCCAGCGACATAGCCATTATGCTAACTGCTGGCCCCTTTAGTTAAATATTTCAAACAATGCTCTAGGTTCATATTATTCCTATTTTATTTCATTAAAAAAAATGTTGCCAGAAGGCACATGCCCTCTCCAGAAAGAGACAGAAAGAGAGGGTGAGAGAAGGAAAGTGAGAAAGCACCCCCTTCATAGTGGATAGTCACACCACAATCCCTTCTCCTCCATTTCTCCCATTTTTTCAGAATTTTGAGCAACATGCACATACATCCAGTATGTTTTTCAAGCTCCTGAGTCAGGGACTTGAACTTCGCAGTCAGCCATGTGAGATCCAACTGCCTTAATCACCATACCACCAGCTGGCCCTTATTGTTCCTGTTTTACAGATGAGAAAACCTAGACTCAAAGAGGTTAAATTACTGTCTATCTGAATAGCAGAGCTGGCACTTTCAACAATTCTAAGTCAAATGTTTTCCTACTATGCCACAGCTTCTACAGATGTTTACAATATCTCATTTTAAATGAAAGAAAAGGAACATACACATATGCTTATGCACAGGAAGAATATACTTTAATTCCACATACACCCAGTTTCAATTGGCGATGGGACCTATGATGGGGAGGGAAACAGAAAAAAAAACAAGCAAGAATAAAAAGAGGAAAATAATTACATACGAGAAAATGTTAAACACATAGAATAAGGGAGGGAAAAAAGACAGATGTAGCTGAAAGAAGAATGAGTTGAAATCAGGGTCTTTCAGTGTCCTCACTCAGCCTTGCTTTGGCCAACACACCTGACTGCACAGCTCCTGAGCTGTCTGACGATGCATTTCTCTTCCCAGGTTCTAGTCATCTTTCCCCAGCTAACCTTCAGGCTAGTATTTCCACAATCCCCAGAGGCCTGACCTTATCTTGGCCTAATCACTGTATTACTGTAAGGTTTCCTTCCACTCGCTCAGTAAATAAAACTAAAAGCAATTCACTTCAGAAACTGCATATCTCCTTAATCTGAGAATGACTGGAGACCCAACCACTTACTGGGGTCTACCAAACGTATTAAGGTAGAAACAAACAAGAAAGCAAAACCTAGACTTCCAGCACCCGAGCAGTCAGTGCTCAAACTTGTCTAATGTACAAATTTCTAAGTTAGACTTATAGCATGTAATAAATGTCTACACAAAATCACCACTTACATTTCTAAGTTTTTGTTTTAGTCAATTTATTACTTAGGTAAATTAGATACAATTGCTTTCAAAATGAGATAAATAACTTACATAACTATCATTTTTAAAACTTTCTAAGTCATTGATATAATATTTTCTCTTTAAAAAACTGGCTTGGGGGGAATAGTAGTTAGCATAATGGCTATGTCGCTGGACTCCCATGTAGTTGACTGCGGTTCGAGTCCCGGACCCAGAGGCTTAAAACTCACACCGGGTGTGTGTGCGTGCGTGCCCAAAATCCCGAGAAGAGAATGGAGGAGAAGGGACTGCAGCGTGTCCATCCCCCCTGTGGGGTGATTTCTCGCTTTCTGTCTCTCTGTCTCTCTCTGTCTGTCTGGTGAGCGCACGCGCCCTATAGCAAAAGAAAAAAGAAACTGGCTTGGTAGATAGTGTCTGAGTTTGAGACCAGCAGTTAGCGTAATGGCTATGTTGCTGGACTCCCATGTAGTTAACCGCGGTTCGAGTCCCGGACCCGGTGGCTTAAACTCACGCTGGGCACGTGTGCGTGCGTGCCCAAGATCCCGAGAGAAGAATGGAGGAGAAAGGATTGCGGCGTGGTCATCCCCCCTGGGGGTGATTTCCTGCTTTCAAGATAGTGTCTGAGTTTGAATCCTAGCTTATGATCTTACAAGTGACTTAGGGTAAATTACTTGGTATCTTTGAACCTTAATTTTTTTCATCTAGAGCTAAACATATAATATTAACTACAGAGGTAGTTTTAAAATTTTTATTAGTTGAGTGCTTGGAATATACCTGGAATTTAATATGTACTCCACAAATGTTATTTGCTATTATTACTAGCCACTAACCTTGCTACTTAGTTACACAAAACAACTATAGTATACCTTTTAACCTTTTTAAAAAACGATTTAAGTGATTTTTAAAATTTTAGAAAAAAACAGTTTGTAATAATTATGGACAGCAATAATAAAAAAGAAAAGCGAAAAAAAATTTGAGATTTTTTGCTGTAGGATGTGTATGCTCACCAGAGACACACAGAGAGAAATTAATTAAACCCCCACCAAGAGGGATAGCCACACTGCAATCCTTTCTCCTCCATTCTCCTCTTAGGATTTTGGACATGCACACATACACGCCTGGCCTGAGTTTCAAGCCTCCAGGTCCAGGATTCAAACCATGGTTGACCATGTGGGAGTCCAGTGCTTTAATCACTACATCATCTGCTGGCCCCCCAAACATTATTTTTAAGTTTACTTACTTATTTCATGAGAGAGACACAGAAAAAGACAGACAGACATAGTACCCCTGACAGGGTCCCAATGCCACAATCCCCCCCAGCCACAGTCAGCCCAGATCACAGGCACACGCATGCCAGGTGTCCTAAGGGAGATCTCCATACATGATCTGCCTTGCAGAGCCCCATGCTTTACCACTGTACCACCATCTACCCCCCAAATCAGAGGCTGATAGTCACATTTAGTAGAAGTGAAGAGCAGAACTGTCACTCTCCAACGAGTTTACCTCAAAGTCTATCAGCTGGAGGTCAGCTATCAGTGTCACCAGCAGCCCACTATTGTAGAGTTCTTGTGCCAGCTGAGCCACTGCCTCCGTTGGGGGTTCTTTGTCATTTGTACCACACAGAATTTCTTTCATTGCTTGCAGTGATTTTGACACTTCTTCTGAAGCCTAGTGACCAAAAAGTATCCAAATATTAGCTTAAAAAAACCCAAAAGTTCTCAAGCTATAAACAAACAAACAACTAACATTTCTTGGATCCTACTCATTTATAAGCAAAGACTATTGTACAGTTACAAACACAAAAAAAACCATCATTTAATAATAAATACGGCTTTTTTATTTAGAAAAGTTACTAAAATTTATTTATATAACAAATTCTGTTATTTCTACTTAGTCAACATTTGAAATAATCTTCTTTCAACCATCCTGATAGTCTAATTTTCTAGTAATTATTTATAAATGTAGCTCTCGAAAATTAAATTGACTCCATTTTAAAGACTGATCAGTAGCTACTAGTCATTATTTCAAGTACTGTGTTGTCTTTAGATTTTTCAGTAAATCCCCATTCTCCTGATTCTTATATGGGCCAGGTATAAAATTCAGAAGTTGTCAAAACTCACAAACTTTCTTTATCAATCCTCTACTCTTCACACATAATCATCGTGTTTTTTGTTAGCTATGGAACTTAACAAATCTTACTATATTTTAAAGAATAAGAGTCAAATCTATAGAAGCAGAAAGTGGGTTATGGGTGTTAGAGCTTTGGGAAGAGGAAATGAGGAAGACAACTAACGGGCACAGGATTTCTTTATGGGTAATAGCAATTAATTCTGGAATTAGATGATGATGATGGCTGCACGGTCTTTTAGTGAATATGCTAAATCCACTGACTAGTTCTTTTTTCTCTCTTTTACCATTTAGATTTTCTCTTTTACAAAAGTAAGTTTTTCTTTCCAGTTGGGCCAGTATTTGGTTCAATATTACAACGTACACTACAATTAAATTAAGAAGCATCTATATCCTCGGAGAATCTTAGATTGTATCATATACTGAGACAGAAAGATGTAAACTCAAGGACATTTATTTAATAGATACCTTGAATCTGGCATAAACTACTCACTTTAGAGAGAACTGAATATGCTGTATTTAACATTCCTTTGAAGGAATAATTAACATACTATATATAATGAAAGGGCCTATCTGTGAGGAAGTCCTTTTTACCCAGACATTAAACAGTGTGAAAATGAGGTTGCATTGTAATAGAAAAAAAATCAATCTTTAAATAAAAGCTTTTTACCTTTCCTGTCACTGTTAATGTTATACACCAGTGAAACCTCTTAGAGCTTTAAGTTCTACAGTCTAGAGGAACCAGGATTGGTCAGAGGCTCTAGTAGTGAACCAAAAGTTCAAGACGACAGACGGCACAGTTAACAGCTGCATAGAACCTGAAATCAACTTAAATGTATTTACAAAGACCCTATGTGCCCATGACAGATCTATGTGGTATTCCTCATTAGGCTTTTATATTGGTTTTGGCCTTAGAATGGATGTATTTTAGTAATAATGTTATTGTTTTAGCTCATACCTTGTCTGACTTTTTGTCTTGCTTTTCCAAAATGGCCAGGTTGTCTTTCAGAATTTTCACAATTTCTGCTGGATTTTTGTGTGATTTACTAAACAAAGGCATTTTTTTCATGTGTAAAAATCTTTTCTTCCAATATGGAATGCTAAAAACAAACATATAAGCCAACAAAAATCACAACTCATTCTTAATGTCCTTAAATTATTGTACCAAAATGTCTTAGAAATTTTCAATAACATCAATTTAGTAATTTGAAACAGTAGAAGTGATCAAAGTAAAATGTCTTTTGGGTTTTATACCAAATTTAAATATATGTAAAATATTTTAATAGCTATTTCAAGAACTCTACCTGAAAGTTTTCATTCAAAGTTTAAATTTTTTCCTGCAATAGAAATTATAGATTCACATATTCAAAGATTATACAAGAAAGAGAAATAGAATATTTTTAAAGAAAAAGCTCATATTTAGAACTAGATATTTTGATTAAAGAGAGTAAAAAATTGCAACATAAAATCTTTTAGAATCTGTTCTTTATTCACTCATCAATATTCAGTTGGTCATGTTTGCTGATTTTAAAGGCTCTTGTATCTCACCTGTCACGGTGGAGGGTGAGGGGAGTTGAGAAAGAGTAGCAATTCCAATTGTTGAAAATATCTTCTTACATAGAGCAGAGAAAGCCAAGTGTGGCTGTCTTTGCACTAACATAAGTAATTGAAGGCTCCAGCTAGCGAAGGCATATGCATTATTTTACATTTATTAACAAAGATATTTCAAACAATATAGAAATAGGAGGTAAGAAATTAAAGGTTTCCATGAATTAAGGACCCAGAGATGACAGCTATTATGGATGTGGTATTTATTCTCTTCAAATATAAAAATATGTATCTTTTTTTGCCACAGGGTGGGCGCCACCACGCCCAAAAATATGTATCTTTTTAAGACAAAAATAGAATAATACCAGACAGTATTTTACAACTTTTTCCACTTTTTTCTGTTTCTTATCCCTTGAATATCATTCCATGTGTGTATATTTAGATTTATACAAAAAGTTTTATAACAATATAGTATTCTACTACATAAATATATTATAATTTATTTTATCAATATATCAATGTCCATTAATAGACATTTGAGTTACTTAATTTTATTCCTGGCATTTTTCTAACAATGATGCAAATAATCAATGAAGGAAGAATATTATACACAAATGTATATACTAATTGATAGTAGCACCCTAACCAGCTATTTCTGTGGTACAACTTTGATGATAGGTCCATATCTTTCATGAGCCTAGATTCTTATCTGTTTTCTAAATCTGGTTCCCCAGGGTTTCTGCCTATGAGTTATCTCTTAAAGTCCTTCTAAGTAACAAAATTGTTAATTGTTAATTGTGTGTGTATATATATATATATATACACACTGTCCAGTGTATATATATACAGTGTATATATATATATATATATATATACACACTGGACAATTATATATATATATATATATATATATATATATATACACACACACACACACTTACACATACATACATATTTTTGCTGTAGGGCGCGTGCGCTCACCAGAAAGACAGAGAGAGATAGAAAGATAGAAAGCGAGAAATCACCCCCCAGGGGGGATGGCCACGCCGCAATCCCTTCTCCTCCATTCTCCTCTCGGGATCTTGGGCACGCACACACACGTGCCCCGTGTGAGTTTTAAGCCACTGGGTCTGGGACTCGAACTGCGGTCGACTACATGGGAGTCCAGCAACATAGCCACTACGCTAACTGCTGGTCCTGGTATAAATTTTTATTGAAAACAGAAATCTTAAAAATTATTTTCTATTTTCAGTATGGATCCTGGGGATATGTTCCAACTCCCCAATATAGAGAGACTATGTGTGAAAGAAACTTATCTACTCTTAGTACAAGGAAAAATGTGAAAAGTTATTAAGGCACCCCAATTAACCTCTTGAGCTGAGATTGAAAGGTAACAGAGCATTCAAAGTTAAAATCTGTGAAGATCATACAGTGATTTTTAGTGGGTTGTATAGGATGCAAAAAAGACAGTATTGTACCATGGTTTGAAAACCATGCTCATTCGTGTTCCCCAAAGCTCATTGTTAGAAGCTTGGTCCCCAATACAGTTGGAAATGGGGCCTAATAAGTGATTGGGTCACGAGGGCTCTGCTCTCATGAATGGATTAATGCCTTTAATGGGGAAATGGGCTAGTTATCTCAAGTGGATTTCTTATAAAAGTGAGTTGAGTCACTACTTTTCTCCTGCTTCTCTTTCACTTGTCTTTGTCCTTCCACTTTCTGCCATAGGATGACACAGCACAAAGCCCTTAACAGATGCCAGCGCTATTCTCTAGGACTTTCCAGATTCCAGAACTATGAGACCAGTAAGTTTCTGCTCATTATAAATTACTCCGTCTTCGATATTGTTATAGCAACAAAAAACAGACTCAAACACCCAGGAAGAATATTGTGTCTTGCTCTCTATAAAACTCAAGAATAAAATTATGAAGATGCACAAAGTTTTTCTTTAATAATCTTTTCATAAACAAGTAGACCTAAAGATAAATAAAGGTAGAGTACATTTAAAGGCTTATGTAGTCTGGAGGCAGGGTGGGTACTGAAATAGTCATATGATTGGACAGATCTGGCAATCCGTTTATTGCCTGGGTGAGAATGGGCACATTATATGACCTCTCTTAAGAGTCTGTGTTCTCCTCTGCAATGACTATGACATTTCTCTCAGAGTAGCTGTAAGGATTAGTGGTATACGGGAACACCTTGCATAGGGTCTTGTACAGGTAAGGTATTGTATAATGTTTAGCTGTTATCACAAAAAGTTTCATGACATAGCTAATTTTATAAGAGAAAGGCATAGCGGTTGAGACATGATTTTATCTTAAATGGATGAGATATTTCTAGCTTCCTCTTAGTCAATTACTCCTTTTAGACACTTTAAAAAATATAAATTTATTCTCTAAATGTTTAGTCCTTAGTGCTCAAATATTAAAACAGAGTGAAAAAAAGAACAATGATAACAAAAAGAAATCAAATGCACTTGAGTATTTGTTCTTTCTTTATGTAGTTCTACAGCATTAAAGAAAAGTACATAAATATAGGAATTCCAACTAAATATTCCCAACATCAAAACAGAATGTAAATTATGATATGGTATTATGTGTGTGTGTATCTATCTATATAAAATAAAACATATTATTGTTTTTATCCATTTCCTATTGCTCTGTTTGGTTCTCATTGTATTAAGTTAATTCTAATACCATTCTGATGAAATTACAAAGGTCTTCAGGACCACCATATCAATATGGTGGTAGGCAGCATTTCCTGATTCATCATCTCCCACATTTTTATTTGCCCATTAGTTTGTTCATTTATTCATTCTTTTGCTCACTCTGTAAGTAATCTAAGTAAGTACTAAGCACAGGTACCTCACTAACTAAGTAAAGAGGCATGAACAAGAAAAACACAATCTCTACTCTTTGAAGTTATCTATCTGTATCTATCTATCTTGCCAGAGGAAGGACACATGCACTAGCCAGAGAGACAGATAAGAGGGAGAAGGAAAGAGAGAAAGTGTTTCCCATGGGGGAACAGTTGCCACTTCTCCTCCATATCTTCATGCTGTCGGGATTTGGGGCACAAAATCACACATTCCTCATCTGTCTCTCAAGTTGCTGGTCCAGGACTAGAACCACATGTTGGACATGTGGGATCCAGTTGCTTCAATCACCAGACAACAGAGCTTCAAAGGGACCACATGTTTGGGAGATACAGACATAGTAAGGATCTTCCCAGAAAGCAAGAAAATATTGAAAAAACTAAAAAGATGAAGAAAAGATACAGTGTGTATTTATATTTTTATCTATATTTTTATAATGGTATGGAGATGTTAAAATATTATCCCTAAGAAACAGGTATTACAGCAATGGGGGGGGGGAAGCCAACATCAAAAAAGAAACTAAAAGGAGAGTGAAAACAATAATGAAATATATGGCAGCTTAAGGAAAAAAAGAAAAAGAAAATCTAAATCGGATCATTTTAAAGGTTTTTCTAATAGAGATTGATCATAAGATCCAAAATTTAGTACATTTTGTGGTTTTAAAAAAATCCCTTTCTCAAAGCACATTCCAACAAAATAAACTTAAGAAGAGAAAGAAGCATAAATATCAGGTGGTCCTTGGACTTTCTTAAAACTAAATGCCTGAAGAACTCTGAGTTTTAAGAAGTAAAATCAAAAACCTCATAATTAAATCTCTAGCCAACATATCATTTATGTGAACAGACTGTGTATGCTTATAAAAAATTTAACAAAAAGATGAGGCAGAATCAAGCCCACAAAGAGCTCAACAAAATTAACATTTACAAAATCAGAAATAGTTCTTGAAAGAAAGCCTTTATATTATTGGTAGGATATGTGGGAGGGTGAGAATCTACAATTATAATTCATTCATATGGAATAAAAATAAATAAGAATTCAACTAAAGAAGCTTAAAAAGAAACCACCCCAAAAAATCTCCAAGAAAAGAAAGATCATAATAATGATAGAAATAAAAATCTTTGAATCTGAGAAGTAAACGAAAAAGAAAAAAGTCACAGGAAGCTACTTGGTTCCTATTTCTTCTGGTTATAAATGTATCCCACCTCCTTCCCACTTCCCCCAACCACTCACCAAGAGGGTGAAGAATGACTTGGGCATGGCTAGAGCATTCCACTGCCTTGGCTACAGCAACTGGCTCACAAATGGATTGTGATACAAGTTAATCAAAATAAAAAAGATGAAAGATAGCAAGTGTTGGCAAAGATTTAGAGAAAAGAGAACTCTTTTTTTTGGGAGGGGGAGGTTTTCTCTATGGGGCGCATGCACTTGCCAGACAGAGAGAGACAGAAAGCAAGAAATCCCCCCCCCCCCCCAGGGGGGATGCTCCATTCTCCTCCCGGGATCTTGGGCATGCACGCACCTGCGCCCAATGTGAGTTTTAAGCCACCAGGTCCAGGACGCGAACCATGGTCGATTACCTGGGAGTCCAGCGACATAGCCATTACTAACTGCTGGTTCCCAAGAAAAGAGAACTCTTGTACATTGTTGATGGGAAGGTAAATTAGTCCATCCATTATG